AGAATCACATTGTGAAGGCTTATTCGATACTACCTGAAAAGATATTCAGCATCACACGGAATTCGTATGAAGAACTGCAGTGCAAAATTGTGCATGGAGGACAGATCACAAACTCACTTCAAGTGAATACCGGTGTTAGCCAGAGTTGATACTTACTTTCACCTTTAGCGCAACCAGACAAACATTCCAGAAGAGGCAATGGAAGCAGACATGGGAGCAACTGCAACAACATCCGCCAGTCAAACCACTCTTGATAGATATGCTTTAGAAGACGTCAGAACCTTTTACATATCTGGGCAACATCATTTACGAGCAAGGGTGGATCCGATTTGCAGATGTGAGGGAGCGGATCGGCAAGGGAAGGGCTGCATTTCTTCCAATTAAAAAATTTATCGAACTCCAAACAAATATCAAACCAAACACTAAAGACACAGTTTTCAATAAAATGTCAAGACAGAGTCCACTATATGGCATGCGGAAAACTGGGAAACTACGAAAGCCATTCATCCAGAAGATACAAGTATTGACTCCATTTCCGTTGGCCAGACACCAATCAGCAACAACCTACTGTCGGAGAGAACAAACCAGCTTGCCAGTGGAGGAAGGAAATCAGGAAGCGATGGAAGTCGATATGACAAACACTGTGGGAAAGCACCGAACTGAGTCACAAGACTAGCCGTCGCTTGGAACCCTCAAGGTCAACGGGAAAGAGGAAGGCCAAGGAATACATTACACTGAGGAATAGAGACATGAAATTGGAAGACAACTGGACAGAACTGGGTAGGGGAAGCCCAGGACAGAGTAGACTGGAGAATGCTGGTCGGTGGCCTATGCTCTATTGGTGGATAACAGGCGTAAGTTAGTCACAACTGAAGAAATGCACGTGCATCAACTTTTCTGGGGGAAAAAAACACTATGTGAGTGGAAAAAATGCTTAATTGCCTTGTGTTAAGAATTTAAAACACAGCTAGAGACAAAATCAAGCATCTTACCAATTTGTCACTGATGGTAAAACGTGCACTGACGGGTCATTATGTGAAAACGTCTAATTTAAATGATTATTAGTTGTACAGATAATCATTGTACCTGGCCGGTGTGTGTTACTGTTGCTGCACTTTCAGTACTGTAAAACATATATCGTAGATAAACAGGAGAACGAAAGAACCTAATAGCACTGAGCGCATCCTAGCAGCTAACCTTAAGTTACGAACATTCCGCCGCTAGCTGAAAGATCGGCATGATTTCAAAAAACGCAAGGCGACAACAACCATAGTTATCATTATGTCATCTGAGTAAGCCGATGCCACATTTCAAATCGCGTTCTAACTTCGAATCAGTTTTTAATTGCTACGCATGAAAATGTCCGCGTACAAGCTCAAGAAAAGTATTGCAGGTAACAGCACCACCAAGTAGATAAGATTGATAAAATTGGTAGGAGTAAGTTGGAAAATCACGCTGAAAGTTGTGAGACTATTTGAATATGTTGGCGATACGCGTGATATATAGGTTCTACGACGAAAATCAGTCTAAAAATTAGTTTTCTGTAAGTCAGGTCCCATTACTTATTTACCTGTTTCATCCTTTTGTCCTATGCAGAGCATAAGCCCACCGACCAGCATTATCCATTCAACTCTGTACTGGGCCTACCTTTTCAGTTCTGCACAACTGTCTTTCATTTCTGTAGATGTCTGATTCCAATTTTCTGTGTAATATGTTCTTTTGGTCTCCTTTCTTTCCTTCCACTTCAGGAATTCAAGTTACAACTTTCCTCATGACGCAGTCAGTACTCCGTTAAAGTTTGCCCCGATCCACTTCCAGAACTCCAACCTGATTTCTTCCTCATCTGGAATCCGCTTTGTTCTCTCTCACAGCAGGTTGTTGCTGATCATATCTGATCAATGGATCCGAAGTAATTTGTATAGGCAACTGTTAATGAACACTTGCATCTTCTGGATTATGGCCTTCGCAGTTATTCACATTTTCGCTCCATATAGTAGAGCTGTCTTGACATTTGTGTTAAAAATTCTGATTTCGGTGCTGGTTGATAGTTGTTTGAAGTTCCAAATGATCTTCAAATGTAGAAATGCAGGCCTTGCTTGGCCGATCCGCTACATTATATCTTCACCGGATCCACCTTGATTGTCATTGATGCTGTCCAGATATGTACAGGTTTAACGTCCGCCACGGCATCTGCATCAACAGTGGTTTGATTGGCATAGAACCTATATATCACGCGTATCGCCGACATATATCAATATTCGCACAACTTTCAGCGTGATTTTCCAACTTACTCCTACCAATTTTATCAATCTTATCTACTTGGTGGTGCTGTTACCTGCAATACTTTTCTTGAGCTTGTACGCGGACATTTCATGCGTAGCAATTAAAAACTGATTCGAAGTTAGAACGCGATTTGAAATGTGGCATCGGCTTACTCAGATGACATAATGATAACTATGGTTGTGGTCGCCTTGCGTTTTTTGAAATCATGCCGATCTTTCAGCTAGCGGCGGAATGTTCGTAACTTAAGGGTTAGCTGTTAGGATGGCGCTCAGTGCTATTAGGTTCTTTCGTTCTCCTGTTTATCTACGATATATGTTTTACAGTACTGAAAGTGCAGCAACAGTAACACACACCGGCCAGGTACAATGATTATCTGTACAACTAATAATCATTTAAATTAGACGTTTTCACATAATGACCCGTCAGTGGCACGTTTTACCATCAGTGACAAATTGGTAAGATGCTTGATTTTTGTCTCTAGCTGTGTTTTAAATTCTTAACACAAGGCAATTAAGCATTTTTTCCACTCACATAGTGTTTTTTCCCCAGAAAGTTGATGCACGTGCATTTCTTCAGTTGTGACTAACTTACGCCTGTTATCCACCAATAGAGCATAGGCCACCGACCAGCATTCTCCAGTCTACTCTGTCCTGGGCTTCCCTTCCCAGTTCTGTCCAGTTGTCTTCCAATTTCATGTCTCTATTCCTCAGTGTAATGTATTCCTTGGCCTTCCTCTTTCCCTTTGACCTTGAGGGTTCCAAGCGACGGCTAGTCTTGTGACTCAGTTCGGTGCTTCCCACAGTGTTTGTCATATCGACTTCCATCGCTTCCTGATTTCATCCTCCACTGGAATCTGGTTTGTTCTCTCCGACAGTAGGTTGTTGCTGATGGTGTCTGGCCAACGGAATGAGTCAATACTTGTATCTTCTGGATGATGGCTTTCGTAGTTCTCCAAGTTTCCGCTCCATATAGTGGAACTGTCTTGACATTTTTATTGAAAACTGTGTCTTTAGTGTTGGTTGATATTTGTTTGGAGTTCGATAAATTTTTTAATTGCAGAAATGCAGCCCTTCCCTTGCCGATCCGCTCCCTCACATCTGCATCGGATCCACCTTGCTCGTAAATGATGTTGCCCAGATATGTAAAGGTTCTGACGTCTTCTAAAGCATATCTATCAAGAGTGGTTTGACTGGCGGATGTTGTTGCAGTTGCTCCCATGTCTGCTTCCATTGCCTCTTCTGGAATGTTGTCTGGTTGCGCTAAAGGTGAAAGTAAGTATCAACTCTGGCTAACACCGGTATTCACTTGAAGTGAGTTTGTGATCTGTCCTCCATGCACAATTTTGCACTGCAGTTCTTCATACGAATTCCGTGTGATGCTGAATATCTTTTCAGGTAGTATCGAATAAGCCTTCACAATGTGATTCTGTCCACGCTGTTGAATTCTTTTTCATAGTCAAGGGAGTCGGTGCATGGTGATGAGTTCGATTCAATTGGTTGTCCAACAATGGTCCGTGGTGTCGCATTTTGGTCGGTACATGATCGATCCTTACGGAACCCACCCTGCTGATCTCAAAGATGGGCGTCTACTGGGTTTTTCATTCGGCTCAGTGCCATTCTGTTGAAGACTTCTTGGTATTAAGAGTAGAGTGTGGCCTCAGTAGTTTTCGCAATTTCTTAGATGAGCTTTCCTTTGCATAATGATGAAGTGTCCTTCCTTCCAGTCTGTTGGTATTTGCTGTTCCTCCTAAATCTTTGTGAAGGAAGTGTGTAACGTATTTGTACATACTGTTATGTCTGCTTCCAGGTCTCAGCTGATATTTGTCTAATGGCCATGCTGATTTCTTCTACTGTTGACGGGTCAAGATTAATTGGGAGGTCCGTATATGCTGCGTTGATATTTTGAGGGTTCAGTGAGGCAGGTCGATTAAAGGGTTATTCGAAGTGCTCTAGAAACCTGTGTCTCTGTTTTTCAGTGTCGATGATTGTTTTGCCTTCCTTCCTTTCCACTGATCGCTCTGGTTAACTATAGTTCCCAGCGAACATCTTTGTTGTATCGTACAATTGTCTCAAGTTTCCGTCTCTTGCAGCCTTTTCGCCGCCACTTCTAGATCTCCCACATGTTTACGTTTGTCGTCTCTGATGCTCCTCTTCACTTGCTTGTTTGAGTCTGTGTATTCAGCTTGTGCCTTGTCTTTCTCTGCTCTTGTTCGGCTGATTTTGATTGCTGTCTTCTCTTTCCTCCTTTCTTGAATTTTTTCAAACGTACCAGTAGAGACCCATTCCTTGTGATGGTGCTTCTTGTGACCCAGAACCTCCTGACATTTTGAAGTGTTCGCCTCCTTGATCCCTTTCCGATTGTTCTCCATGGTTGTTTACTCTCCATTTTGTAGGTCGTGCAAGGCGTGGAACCTAATGTTGAGGGCTATCTTGAACTCGCTGAGCTTCACAGTATCCCGAAGAAAGGCCGTACGAACTTTAGTGATGTTTTCCGCCTCATTGTCCAGTGCCTATTGAGTTTCAGTTTTATTTTGGCGACCAGCAAGTGATGATCTGAAGCTTTATCAACTCCTCTCTTGATTTTAAACTCCTCCATGGTCCTTATGTACTTTTTATTGATACAGATATGGTCGATTTGGTCCTGAGTAGTGTGATCTGGTAAAATCCATGTAGCCTTGTGTGGGAATATTGTGCCGCGGATGACTAGTTTGTTAAAGGCACATAGGTTCGCAAATCCCTCGCTATTTTCGCTCCTTTCTCCCAGTCCATGTTGTCCTATGATGTCTTCATATCCAGTGTTGTCCATGCCAAACTTGGCATTTAGGTCTCCCATTAGAATCGTCAAGTCATTTGATGAGCATTTGTCGACGATTGACTGCGGCCTCCCGTAGAATTTATCTTTAACGTCGTTTATTGTAATGCCCTCTTTCTGTGTTTTGAGGGATGCTTTGATGGTCCTGGGCCCATGAGATTCCCATCCTGTTAGTGCCTTTTGTGCTTGTTCGGACAGCATCAGTGCAAGTCTTTGTGTGTGTGAGGCATTTTCTTTTTCATGGCCGGAGTATAACAGCAGCTCTCCTGGAGCTAGTCACAGTTGTCCAATATGTGTCCAATGTGCTTCTCTGATTCCAAGTACCACTAGGTTGTACGTTTTTATTTCTGTACCAACTGCAAAGACTCTACCGCTCTCCTCGATTGTACTAATATTCCAGGTCCCTAAATAATTGGTTGCTGTGGTTGTGAGAAGGGTCATCGGCCTCGTGACTTGCGAATAATTTCATCTTTCATCATGAGACTTGATAACTCTTGTGAAAGAAGACCTAACTCCCAGGACGGAGTTAAAATGGTTTGAATTGTTTTCTGGCTAGCGTTTTTTAGTGAGTTAGTTTTCTGTGGGATTAGGTTGAAAACCTCATTCCCAACCCTCCTACTTTGTCAGGGTTTGGGACCAGCAGTGGCCCCAGAGGGTCTTCAGATGTATTTGACAATCTACGTAGAAATTAGATGAGCATTCGTTTGCATGACTTTGGAGATGGAATTTTTCACAATGAGGAATGTATCGCTGTGTCAGATATGTTGGTACTGGATCACATATTAGCATCGCGTTGGGCGCACCTGACTTGTCAATCGGATTCTAATAAAAATTGATAAATAGCACTCAGTTATCCTTAAAATTCTTTTTGAGGCGGTCTCTGCACATTGTATCGAAATATAGCTCTCTCGGTAGAAACATCATTATTTTGCATTGTGCTGTCAGACACCTTCAAATCCTTTTAGTAGGTCAAGAATTCACCCTGGAAATTTTCCAATAACTCGTCTTCATATAAGTATTCACCTCGAGAGTACTGAGAACTGTAGTATGTCTCTCATTTTAATTCATGTATGCATCCTACATCTGCTGAAGATAGTGTAGTTGCAGACACTTAACTTTACCAGCTTACTTGAACAGTCTCCAAGTAATCTACATTCTTAAACCCTCACGATCTACAGTCTTCCTGAATGGTAAATCAATGTAGGTTCTCCGACTGCTAACGAAGTTGAAAAAGCTATAAGAAATCTGAAGCAAGGAAGAGCAGCAGAGCTTGACAGGCTTGCCCCTGAGATTTGTAAGGATGGTGGTCCAGTCTTAGCATCTAAATTGAATGAGATCTTAGGTGAAATTCTGGAACTGGGCGTGAACCCACCTGACGTATTAATCACTAATAGTCCCAGTCTACAAAACTGAACAAAAGTTCTTTTGTGACAGTCATAGAGGAATCAGTTTGACTAATAGTGTCTAAATTGTTAGCTTCGATAATACTGGGACGCCTAACTAGAGCTCGTGAAGAACATACTAGAGAAAACTAGACTGGTTTTCGTCCTGGACCTGTATGTATTGACCACGTTTTCACACAACGACAGGTCCTGGAACAGCCACACATTTAGGCATTCAACAATAGTTGTCTCCCTGGACCTTAAAGCAGTATTTGACTCTGTTGATCGTGAGGTTCCTTGGCAGTGTCTGTCATTAAAAGGTGTACCAAATAAGTACGTTACCGTTGTATAGGCTCTCTACTCAAAAATTACTGGTCGAGTGAGAGCTCATGTCGAACTGTCATCGGGACTGATTACCTTGAGTGGCGTCCGTCAGGGCTGTCCACTTTCTTCATTCTTGTTTAATTTTGTCATAGACCTGCTTCTAGATATAACATTATTTTCGTCTGAATTTTCAGGAGTGGACCTTCTACCGGGAGACATGCTTGTTGACTTAGAGTATGCCGATGATATAGTTCTATTCAGTGAAGAGTGACAAAATGCTGAGTCTTCTGACTAGCCCAAGCAACAATGCAAACATATTTGGGAAGTGATTCATTCTCACGAAATGAAAATGTTGCTTCAGGATTGGGTTGCATCGGCACCTGAACTAGTGGTAGGGAGTGAAGTAGTCAAACGTGTAGACCACCTCACTTATCTTGGGTGTCTCATCAGTGCTGATGGCCTGGTGATTGACGAAATCTCATCTAGGATACAGAAGGCTTGATTGACTTTTGCCAACCTGTGTCACTTATTGCGCAGGGGAGCTATCCGCTTGTTAACCAAAGGACGAGTGTACTGCACAGCAGTTTGCTCTGTCCTACTGAACGGGTGCGGAACGTGGACTGTAGGAGTAGAGGACATTCTTAGGTTACAAGTCGTCGATCATAGGTGTATCCGAAGCATTGCTCGTGTATCTTTGGACGTTCGAGTAAACAGTGCTGTCGTTAGGAAACGAGTTGTAGGTGAGGATGGCTAATCAATAGATGAAGTGGTGAAACTTCATCACCTGAGGTGGTTGGGACATGTGTTACGTATGCCTAACCACCGACTGCCGCGTCAAGCTCTGTCTTGTGATGTAGGAGTAGGTTGGAAGAAAGCTAGGGGCGGCCAAACCAAAACATGGCACAAATCCATGAAGTCACTGACAAGTGGTAGATGTAGGCTACCTGGTTGGGGTGCTCAAGACGAAATTCACCAATGGTTAAAGGCCTTGAACGACATGGCTCAGAATCGTTTGCAGTGGCGCAGGTGCATCCACTCTCTCTGTTCTTTTTAATTCTAACCTTCATTCCTCATAATCTATATCTTTCTCCTTACAAATTTATCTCACTGAATTATACTTTTCGAATCATGTCTTCGCTCCCTAATCTTCTCCATTGCTGCTAATAATTCTACTATCGCTATCGCTCTTGGATTTGAACTGACAGTTACGTCTATGTGCTGACGTGGTATGGCAACCTGAACTGATATATTTATGTACGAAGTTCTGCGTTGTATCTGTCTGTCTGATGAGGTACGTCGGTCTATTCCGGATATCTGCAAAATTGACCACCAAATCGTGCAAAGTTTGTGAGGACTTAAAAACCTGGTAGTTTGATGGTGCTAACGGATTCGAATCAACGGTTTAATCTGGTAGCTGCCCTAAGATCTTTCAACACCAGCAGCAAGAAGTTTGATGTGAATGAAACATTCTGTCAAGCTCATAGGACGCCAGTCAGTAACATCTACTGACGTCTTGGATGATGGACAGAATTTTTCGAAGAACAGTTCATCTGGTCTTCTAACCATCTTCATCAACCCGAGTGTACTGTCTTCTATGGTCAGTGTTGACTGACCAACGTAACGTGGCGAAAGTCCACAAGGAAATTCAACTATTGATATGCCACGGATCAACAGCCCCGGATGATTTACCTTGGACTTCCTTTAATGCCGTGGATCTAATTACGGAACTGACTGTGTTGTTTACAAACGTTTAGAAATTAAAGTGTGTTCCATCATCTTCGAATGGGTCGATAATTGTCCCTACCTTAGAAAACGTTCATGTCATCTATGCAGCAACTATCAGGGAATAAGCCTGCTACTGACTGTATCCAAATTATTGGCTTTGGTCATACTTCTTGAATTGTTCAAAACCCGAGAAAGATAGAATTGCAAGGAGCAGGTTGGTTTTCATTCCGGTCGACCATGTGTTGATCATGTCTTTGCCCTGTACCGAATGCTGGAACACAACCATACTTATCGCAGGCCAACAGTCGCTGTGCTTATAACAGGGGAACCTATTTGTTGGACAGGACTTTTCTCTGGGATTGTCCACTGAAGTAGGGTATGTCTGAGAGTTTACTAACATCCTGAAAGCAGGGTGAGGGCATACAACCACATTTCCATTGCTTCATTCAAGCGTTAGGGTTAGGGAGTGTTGTCCAATCCCACCACTCATCGATTTCGCCTTCGATGACGTTCTGGAAACAGCTCTGGTGGATGTAGATAATAGTGATGTTAATCTGTTACCTGAAGAAAAGACTTTTAAATATTGAGTATGCGGATGATACTGTTTTGTTGTGAGAAGATTCCCAAGCAATGCAATCCACACTGAATCAGTCGGCAATCACCGTCAAGTCCCAAGTGCTTTTGCAAGACCAGCACGACACCAAGCCTGTCTTCATTCTTGGTAGTGAGCGGATATAAGTAGCCGTGTATTTGGGTAACTAGGAAAGTGCTAGTGGTTGCGTGAGTGATGAGATCAGTTCACGTATAGTGAAAACCAGGTTGGGTTATGCCTATCTGGGCCATATTTGGCTCCTTAGTCACGTTAGTTTGGCTGTAAAAGATCAGATGTACAACGCTTCGGTGAGGGCACTTTTACTCTATGCTTGTGAAACCTGGTCTATCCCAGTTGAAGATATTAGAAAGCTTTTTGTGTCTGGTCGCCGTTGTCGCCGAAGTTCATTACCAACACCATGTTAGTAATGTGGAGGTTCGGCAACCTGTGTTCGGGCACAGCGACGATAATATTGAAAAACTGACTTCAGTGGCTCAGACATGTACTGCGAATGTCATCGCTGAGAATTCCACCTCGTGCATTATTTGCCAACACTGGGACTGGTTGGAAAAAGCGGAGAGGTGGTTAGTGTGTGATAGGGTGCCGTAGTATAAAAAAGCCATACAGGGCTGGCACCTGTTGTTCCCTCGCGACACCTAGATTCGGGTCTTAAAGATGTTGCAAATCAGTGGCTTGAGACGTTACTAGGCATGGCTCAGAATAAAAGTCAATGACGATCCTGTTGTAACTTTCTTCTATTTTCTCCACATAAGTGAGAAGGACTTCTTTAACTGTAAGGATTCTTTCTGACTATATTCTCCTTAATTGAACTATTTCTCCCACTGCTATCACTATTATTTCACTCACAATCATTTCTACTCATTTTGTGTTATAATCACCGTTTATTCTCTATCTCTTAATGACCTAGTTTTTACCATACGTTGTATATATATTTTTGTGCCTTATTTTATCAATATTTATGTTTACCAAATAAATAAATAATTTTTCTTATTCTTTGTTTGCCATTTAAATAGGTCAATAAACAGTTCGCAGAAAAGCTGATTGCAGAAGTTCCCCCGATTGCTTGCAAAGAAAATGTCATCAGCTGCGATGGCGGTAGTGGTGCACTTGGGCATCCAAAAGTGTACATTAACTTAGTAAGTGGATCTGAACTTTTGTATAATTGCGTAAGAAAACGTTTACCTAAATCACTTGCTGAACTTGTTTCGCGTTACCATTTAATCGGTGATTACTCTGTCATCAACCACCGCAGCTTTCTGCATCTAGTTGACTATTCAGGACAAATTGTCCTTGCTGATTACCCTAAAAGTCATCATTTATGCAAATTACAACAGATTTTAGGTTTTGAATCCATATTTTATGACTCTTTAGACATCCAAACTTGTTTAACGGTTATTCAACTGATTCTGATATTTAGAATTTTAAACTAGATATCATGAATTAGAACATTCAGATACTCGTTCACTAACGTTTTTCAACTACTCCTCACCTTTAAAATTATGCAGTGTGCAAAGCTGAGGTTTAGTTACGTCAAATTTATAAAATGGGTGGAATTGTGAATGCGCTTCCAAGAGTAGGCTACGTGCAAGCACTGGGAGGTATCGAAAACACCAATATATTCAAGCTGTAATAAAAAATACTCTACTTTTACCCATTTTACTTGATTGGTGTTTCAGGTTAGAGTCTGCTAGTTGGCACAATCGGTTATGCTCCAGATGATATACGCACTTGTTGGGCGTAGGAAAGATACCGCAAGGAAACCTCTTACGGTTCTACTTAACGGTAGCACAGCTGAGAATACATTTCAGGAGCAACTCGAAAAACAGTTGAGCGGCCATGTAACTGATTCCCATCCAGAGGCAGCTTGGAATAATATCAAAAAGGCTGTGGAAACACCAGTGATATCTGCCAGTAAATTAAACCATATGGCTAAGAAGAAGCCGTGGATCTCAGTAGCATCTACCGAACTAATAGACGCTCGTAAACTCATTTCACCTGGCTCTCAACATGATGAAGAGCGAAGTTAGCTTAGGCACACGCTGATAAGAAGACTACGCCATGATCGAGAACAGAGGTGAGTAGCGAAAGCAAGCGAGATGGAAAGGCTACGGCGATAGGGAACAGTAGGCGACTCATTCAGACTCATCAAGGAAACTGGTATTATGAACCCAAATCTTAGTGAAACTATTTAGGAAAAGGATGGTCTTATTATCCATTCTCAATCGAGAAGATTGGATCTATGGGCAGAACACTTCAGGGATCAGTTCAACTGTCCTTCATCCACACTTCGGTTACCCACGATCTCCAGTCATCCTGAATGGCAAGTCGACTTAAGTCCTCCTAGTCCACATGAAGTTGAGAAAGCGTTAGGAAATCTGAAGCGAGGTAAAGCAGCAGGTCCTGATAAGCTAACTATTGAGATTTTTAAGGATGGTGGTCCAGTTTTAGCAGCTAGATTGACTGAGATCCTAGGTAGAATCTGGGAACTGGACGTTATCCCATCCAACTGGTCTCAATCCCTGAATTTTCCAATTTATAAGAAAGGATAAAAGTCTTGTGACAATCACAGGGGAATAAGTCTAACCAATATAGTTTCCAAATTGTTAGCATCAGTTATACTTAGACGCCTAACTAGTGCTCGGGAAGAGGAGACTCAAGAAACACAGGCTGGTTTTAGACCTGGACGTGGATGTACAGACCACATTTTCACATTACGACAGAATAGGTAACACAGGCATCCCACAACAGTCGTCTTCCTGGACCTTAAGGCGGCGTTTGACTCTGTGGATCGTGAGGTTCTGTGACAGTGTCTGTCATTGAAAGGTGTTCCAAAGAAGTACATTAACCTTATACAAGCTGAGACTGAAGTGGTTGCGACATTTGCTACGTACGCTTAACTACCGCCTATATCAATGCATGTTTGCCGATGCAGGCTAGAAAATAGCATCTAATCGAATATATGGTATCAGACATTGATCACTATGCTAAGCACAGACTATCAGGTTAGGATCTTCCATAAGATTCTGAGTTTTGGAAACTTCTAATACTTTATATTTGCGAACTCATTTCTTTCTTCTCCTGTCTGCTACTGTTGTTGTTACTAATTCGTTTACTCTGGCATTTGTTTTGATAATCTCGCATCGCTGCGATGTGATAACTGATGAACACATCTTAGGTTTTGTGTTGCTTATGACAAAAACATCTGCGCTGGTTAGATCGCTGTCTAATAAATGATACCCATCCTTAATTGGGATTAGGATATCGCACACGTTTTTATGTCATATAATGTTTCTGTGTTTCCGTAATTATTTTAGGACCAACCAGGTAATCATGCATGCGGATACTGTGGCTTACGATTTTACTTGGACAAAAAGGGCCACTGAAACATACAACAACCACAGTATAGAATAGAAAAATATTTTGCAGTGTGTTACGATATCCTGTTTCTATGAATGTCCTAGTGCTTCTAGGAGATTGTGTAGTGTTACTGAAAATAGCTTACAATTATATACAGTATATTATTTTCTGCTGTAATTTCTAGACTTAAATGCTTCTTTAACTAAGAGTACTGTGTAATTTAGTAAAATAATCTTCCCGAAAGACATCACCATCTACAAGTGTAATGGACAAAACACGTATAATATGTGTAGTGCTTATTGCTTTACACTAGTCATAGCATTTAAATATTAATGTAATACATCCAGTTGGGATAACTTAATAAACTTATTTTTCAAAAATCATACACGTGACAATATATGGTTGTTGTTCCTACGTTATCGAATTCGCCGTAGCCTACTAAACAAAATAACGTGAGCTTCATCGAATCAACTGACAAACAACGGTAATTTCATTAAATATCGAAATGACTAGTTTAAGATTTCTTTAAGTACAACGTTCACCACAAAATGGCACGGATCCTATACTTTTGTGTCTTAGGTGAATACTAAAAACCATGGACTAAAACAACGGGCCATGCATAACCAAAAGATTTAATAGTACTTTCATGAAAAAAGGCTCAGAAGGTGCGCTGAATTATCTACGTTAATTCTGAGATCTAAGAGCTATTTGTCTTCTATAGTAATATCTATTTCCTGTAGACTTATTCCTTTATTGAGCTCAGAAAGTCGCACATAAAAGTCCCAACTACCGTAGTACAAATACAGCTAGGGTTGAGCGTGTAATTATGTTGGGCTGTCTATCCTTAGCATTTGGGGCAACTAATAATACATAGTACTCTATATTCTCAGCTAAGCTATATACCTACTAAAAATGTAACTTTAGCGTAGAACGACTAGGTCGTCACATCAAAGTATGCTACAAACATGCCTAAGTCTACTCACACGTAGATCCTACTGCACAGAATTTGCAACAACTTATGCAATTGGTTTCTATATTTGGTATCAAAGATAGCGGCTAACTAGATAAACACACTTCCTGATTTATGGGTGTTAAGAACAAAACTCTCAGGAACAACAGTACCCTATGTTTTACAAGTTTATGCGTCTCGAGTCAGTTTTCACAAAGATTCTCCAATAATGGTATTCATGTAGCCATACTGTGGTGCGAACTACTTATAAGTAGTTCGCACCACAATACGAATGTTTTCCGCACACTTTAATCAACTAGCATTCTTCGGTTAAAGACACTGTTAGTTCCATAGTTACTACCCGTACGCGACAATCAGAGCTTCGCACATCATTGCCTGCAGTCTCTTTACAGGAATTCAGTAAAGAAAATCAATAAACTCCCCTTTAGCCATAGATAAACATATATTGCTTGAATAATAGTCAATTAACTCTTCCGAACCATGATAGATAAAAACAACTCAATTCTATGTGAATTAATTTACTCTTTCCGTATGTACCCAATTGAAACAGGGTTCCTTCGTACAAGTCTTGTCAATAAATTTGCTTTTGAAGATACATTTATTAAGTATGGCCGATTCGTGGGTTGCATAGTGGTGAAAAATATGGTCTACTGTAAATACAGAAACATGAACGTTCTCTCTAAGAAACTCCAATAGTACACAGGAATTCACAAACAGTAATATCTTCCAAATTATGCAGTGAGTATAGACATCATAAAAAAAGCTTTGAAAGCTGTGAAAACCAGTAAGAATTTCACTGATAAAAAAATTAGTAAGGTAAACCAGGATCGTGATCGCAGATTCTAAGGATGGTCGATGCGGAATCCCTGCGTTTCAGAAACATCGGTTTACGATAAAATTGTGATTTTCGTACTCTGTTTGAACCAACAACTTTCAGTCCTCCAAACGACTTGCTATGTACCACAGATTTAAGTGAACATGAGCGATAAAAATATACGTAATAAAACTTTCAGCGTTACAGAAATTTGGATTTCTTTTGATATATTTAAATCTGGAGAATCAGAGAACACAATCAAATTTAATCACTGAATTGCTATGTTTGGATAGGTTGAGGTGCAATCTAAGTTAGAAGTCACTTCCGTTTAGAATCTAAGCTTGGAACACTAGGTTCCAAAGATTTTCATCACTCTATCGGTGGGCATCCGGAACTGGTCCACGTTATTCATCGCTTTATACAAAAGCAAATCCACACATTTTTCCTCCATTGTTTTTCAATATAATCAAGTGATATTTCCTCGAATATAAGCTACATTTAAAATTCGTATTAAGCGGTATCACGACAGACACACATTTCGGCGACCGACAATGATAGTCTTCCTGGACCTTGGGGCGGCGTTTGACTCTGTGGATCGTGAGGTTCTGTGGCAGTGTCTGTCACTGAAAGGTGTATCAAAGAAGTACATTAACCTTATATAAGCTCTCTACTCGAACATCACTGGTAGAGTGAGAGCTTATGGCGAACTGTCATCGGAATTCACTACTACAAGTGGTGTCCGTCAGGGCTGTTCACTCTCTGCATTCTTGTTTAACTTTGTCGTAGACATCCTTTCAGAGTTAACATTATCCTCGTCAGATTTTTCAGGGGTAGACCTCCTGCTAGGAGACACGCTTGCTGACTTAGAATATGCCGACGACATAGTTCTATTCGGTGAAGACGCTGACAAGAAGTAAAATCTTCTCACCACCCTAAACATCAATCAAGCATGTTCGGGATGCGGTTTTCCCTATCGAAATGCAAAGTGTTGCTTCAAGATTTGCTTGTATCGGAGTCTGAACTAGTAGTAGGGAGTGAAGTAGTCGAGCGTGAAGACATTCGTAGGTTACTGGTTTCCGATTATAGATGTCTTCGGAGCATTGTTCGTTTATCCTTGGACAACGAAGTAAGCAATGCTGCCATTAGGAAACGATTACTAGGCAAGGGTAGCAGATCAATAGATGAAGTATTGAAGCTTCATCAGTTCAGATGGTTGAGACATGTGTTGTGTATGACCAACCACCGACTGCCTCGACGAGCTGTCTTGTGGTGTAGGAGTAGGTTGGCGGAAAGCTAGAGGCGGCCAGACCAAAACATGGTAGAAATCCATGAAGTCACTGACAGGTGAAATGAGACATGTCGGTAGGTGTCGACTACATGGTTTAGGTCCGCGAGACATTAGTAACCAATGATTAGAGACCTTGAATGACATGGCTCTAAAACGTTTGCAATGGTGCAGATGCATCTATTCTTTGTGTTCTATGAAATTCTAACCTTCTGAATTCGTCATCACCTCTATCTTTCTCTTTCTAAATTTACATCACTGAATTATTCTTCTTGAATAACATCTTCGAACCCTGATCTCTCTGATTACTTCTAATACTTTTACTATCTCTACTGCTATTGGATTTGAATTGACAATTACATCTCTGTGCTAATTTGGTATGGCAACCTTAACTGATGTACTTACGTACGAAGTTCTACGTTTTAACTGACTGACGATAGTGAAAATTATAAAAAAATCTACGGTGTAATCTTCAGTCAAATGAGATTTACATGCTTACTTGTAAAACCCTTTATTACTTGGTTTGCGTGTCAACTAGTTTAGCTTAATTTAAATAAAGTGAAAATACGTCTTGGTGTTCCTAACAAGATTAGAACTAATGCATTGTTTATTGATCAAACGTACAAACTTTAGGCGAATAAACCTTACATTTACCATGAAAACCTAAAAAGATAACTTTATAACACACCTAACCTTAAACCTGACTCGACTATGAACTTGGAAAGAAATTTCTGTAATCACAAGCTCATTATCCAGAAAATAATTTATAAATAAAGAGTTTAAACTGTTACGGTGGTGTAATTTACACATTGCAAAAGAGGAGTTTACAGTGATAAACCATAAACATAATTGTCTCTACATCCAGTGACAACATATACATCATTTGAATCTTCAGAATAAAGGACCGGAGATGAAAAACACTGGTTGGGCAAGCGATAAGTGGACCAAACTGTAGGAGTCTCTTGTTGAAAAGACCTGTCCGAAAAGTGTCTTAAGGGTAAGGAATATGCATAAACTAAACCATCTGCTCTTGTTCCGATCAATAAACTATGTCCATCACTTGCAAATACATTACTTTGCAATAAAGAAGGTGTATTTAAGGAACATGGGCTTTTGGAGTTTAAATCAAATCTGCAGTCGAGTTTCCACACTAGATTGCCGTTTACAATATTCAAAGCGAATAAATAGCCCTTGTTAGTACTCAAAATAACATTATGAGACTGTGTATTAAGAACAGGGTCTGAAAATATCGCATGACCACTTAGTTCCTGAGTACATTCATAACTCCAATCAATATTCCCATCTACTACCGAACATGACTGAATCTTTCCACTAACTCCAGCTACAATAACATTGACCTTGTGGTTAGCATCCATATATAGAAGAGGCTTATTGAAGATGGGTGTTTCTCCGTTCTTCGTCCACACCAAATGCGATGGATTTCTAGGATCTAGACAACCAATAGTTCCTCCAAGACTTGCAATCATAAGATATGGTACATTTGTCTGGGACCTATCTGACACTGTAACAGGAGAAACAATCGGTGTCCCATCAAAAGAATTAGTCCAAATAGGTTTCATCTTCTTTAGAGAACGTAAGTCTATAGCGTGAACCAATTTGCCGTGTGAACCACATGCTAAAAATCCATAATCATGCACATACGACGCAGGAGACTTAACAGCGCCTCCGGTGTAGTATGAGCACAAAGAGGTTCCGCGCTCAATATCCAAACTATAGACACTTCCATTTAAAGATCCGACTACAAGTACGGCACTTGGACCAGCAAATCCAAGTGCGGAAGTAGCCTCGATACGTCCTGGTAATAATACTGTTGCGTTCGGCCATAGTGCGTCGCCATTAGGTATACATAAAGCAGAAACTGAACCGGAATGGCTACCGACAAAAGCGTACCCGCTGGAGGATCCATTAAGACCAGAAAGCACTAAAGGCGAGGCGTCTACACACTTATGCAGATTATGTTGCCATACAAATTTAAATGAGACTCTGCATAATGGACCGGGCGACTTCAATTCAGAACCATGTGTATAAATATTTAGTGGATGTGGATAGTTATGTTTAACAGTCACTTGGAATTTACTTTGAAAGACAGTTTCGCTTGAAAAAGATTTTGAAAAACGTGTTTTGGACTTTACAGAACTGGAAGAACACCTTGAAACGAACTCACAAACACGGGAAAACGAATGCCCAAATATTAACGACAAAAGCTTTTCCCTCCTGTCGATCAAGACTGGAAATTCCTGGATCATTGTTTCAACTAGATGCAACGCCATTAGCGAAGAACCGCCAGCTTCCATAAAAGTTGCATGCCAATCAGTTATTTTCGTTCTACCTAACCCAAGAGACTCATTCCACATGGCAATGATTTTAGACTTGGCGGAAATTGAAGATTTAAAAAAGTTATATGGTCTGTACACCAATTTTCCGTGTGATGAAATCGGTAAAGAATGATTCGAAAATACAAAATGTGTAGGAAGCCAGGGTTGAGGAATCGGAGCGAAAGTTAACTTTATTTTTTTGAGAATATGTGATTTGATTCCTTTCACATAACTGTTATTTGAAAATACTGAAGGCCTTTTAGAAGATTTATGGGAATAAGGTTTAATCTCAATGAATGAAATGATAGAGTTACGATCATTCGATCCTTCAAAAAGTTGACATCTACAATTTCCGATCTTGATGCTTGGTAATTTACACGTTTTGATGACATGTTCTAAACGTTCTAAACAAATTTGGTATCCAAATCGTTTGATTGTACGGTCTTTTCTTCCTAAAAACCATAAACACTTTCCACATCCACCATAGTGGACCAAATCAGAAGTAGGCCATGTACTCTGAGAAGGTAGTTGTGAAAGGGCGTACCGAAATTCTTGAGTAGTAACAGTTGATTCTTTAGGACGTAATATATGAAACCCACCATACTTACGAGATAGTTCCAATTCCCAAACATTATCCATATTAGATGGTATTAATGAAAAACTGGTCCCTAGCATCGGAAACCCAAGAGGTGAAGATCCGCATAAAGGAGGCGGACATTCGCAGTGAATGTCATTGTTGATGTGATTTTCGTCAGATGAACTGACTCTAAACAAAAAGGCCCACGAGGAGACTTCTGTAGTTCCATAAATATTAAAGAGGATAGATTTGTGATTTTTAAGACTACTGAGATCATTTAAAGGAAATGGTTCTCCTCCAAGTAAAACGTGGAAACCTGGTCGTGACAAAAACCTATCAAGGAGACAGCGATTAAGACCAGCAATTTGACTCGGAGTGCATTGCAACCAACCAACGTTCGCGTTAATGCACAACATGTATAACGTTTTGGGTGCATTGAGAATGGGAGAGGGACACATAACTAAGGTACGATGGGTCGACAGTGCGAAGTAAATCTGTACAATACTTGGATCAAACGTCAAGGGTGAAGCCAGAAGAACACAACTAACCTTAGGATCATGCTGCTCATTGGAGAATCGAGTACCTAGGTCAATAACATTAGCTGTTAAACAACTGTCCGCCACACAGACTAGTTTCTGTTCTTTGCTGAAACTTCCAGATGTACTTATAATGTATATAAGATGCTTATTAGGTTCTATAAACGGACTTGGAAAAGATTGTGGTCGTGGGTAAACTAGACTGGAACGTAAAAATATAGACCAATCAGCTCTTGAAAATAAACTATCAACTGTGCTTGTTGAATCATTTTGATACTTTAAGAAATTATCGGGAGGAATTAGTTCGGCAGAATTGCAAAGCAAAACAATGGCGTCAATGTGATTTTCGAGAGTTGCTAAACCATAGGATGCCGTTGTACGAAGTACAGGAAAGAAAGGAAGTCCTGATTTGACAATCCCATGTATCACAACAGTTGTCAATATATGTGGAGCCCATACTACTGCAACAACTGATAATTTACCTTCGCCAGGCTCGCAAGTCAGATGGTACTTGAAAAGTTGTACAAGTTCGTCTGAATAACTCTGGAACTTTTTGTAAGTGAGGGTCTCAACACCAGTGTCTCTAGAAGTTCCCTTCCAAAACTCCACACAATTTTCATTAGGTTCCCATTTTGGCGATACGCAATCCTTTAAATAACATGGCCAATGTAAACTGCATGAATTAGAAACAAAATTGTTAACCTACCTCATACGACCTTGAAGATCCAGCGAAATCTTCCTAAACAAAACAGAAAACCAATACAAGAATATATATTTCAAGTTAAATATTCGTACCTTATAAGTGTATAAATGGTTGAACTATCCTATCCTCCCAACTTCAATTACAACTGACATTTGTCGTAAGACTACTGATTCGAAGAGGGTATTATAGTATAGCACTTGCAATTAAAACATAAAGGAAAAAAGAGAACGTTCATCAAACTAATATGACGAAGACATTCATCCATTTTCAACTTATATCAAGTAAAACTATATCGTAAAGAGTTAAAACTAAAAACATTACGGCACATGACTTTCATCAATCGTTTAAGATTATGGGTATCAATCGACCGTCAAACATGAATGGTTTGTTTCCTAATCTTATACAGTTTGAACTCCAAGATTACAGACAGCATTCAAGAAGAAAAAATAGTCTTGGAGATTACTTGGTGAAGTCGTTAATTACAGTGTAATAGAAATATTTTTGAAGTAGATTACTGGGAAAATCTTAAAACCTCTTTGTAAAGAAAATTCGACACATTTAGTTGTTTTTATTATAATGTAAACTAGATTATACTTCTCGAATCACATCTTCGATCCCTAATCTTTTTGATTACCGCTAGTACTGTTACTACTTACACCACTAAGAGATTTGGACTGACGATGTGGTATAGGAACTTGAACTTATGTACGTACGTACCACGTTCTACGTTGTAGCTCACTAACTGAATCGATTAAAAACTAAGTTTATTTACACTGATAGCACCGTCTATATTATTCACATTGGTTTTGAGTTGTTATTAAGTCAGTCAGTCAGATGCAATGTAGAACTTCGTACGTAAGTACATCAGTTCATGTCGCCATACCACATCAGCACAGAGATGTAATTGTCAATTCAAATCCAATAGTAGAAGAGGTAGTAAAGGTGTCAGAAGTAATCGCAGAGGTTAGGATTAGAAGATATTATTCAACAAGTATGATTCAGTGGGAAAAGTTTACAAAGTTGAAGAATCCAGAAGATTAAGATTTGAGAGAACACAAAGAATAAATGCACTGGCGCCATTGCGAACGATTTTGAGCCATGTCATTCAAGGTCTCTAATCATCGATTATTATCATCTCGCGGACCCCAACCAGGTAGTCGACAATTACCGACATGGCTAAGTCCACTCGTCAATGACTTCATGGATTTCTGCCATGTTTTGGTTTGGCCGCCCCTAGCTTTCTTCCACCCTACTCCTACACTACAAAACAAAGCTCTTCGAGGCAGTCGGTGGTTAGGCATACGCAACACATGTCCCAACCACCTCAACTGATGAAGTTTCATTACTTCATCTATTGATCTTCCATTCTTACCTAGCTCAATGCTACGCCTACGCCAGCAAGACCCCTGGAAGCAGCATCAGGGCTTCCAGATACACGAAGAGTAAATCTAGCTGCTTCTTTATTTTGACAAGGTGAAATCAGATTAATAATTCTACTACGATCCTGTATGCGCGTTTCCGAGACGCAGCATACATCGATGGCACGAGATTCTAAAGTCCTAGCTGATTATGCCTGTTGCCCTATTTGACACAATGTCCGTACATTAAAAGCACCAACATGTAGTATAGAACGGGGTTTCAGGAGACCAGAAATAACGATTCGTGAGCTCGCATCGTTTGCAATAGCTGTGCAGTGTGATAAAGGAATGTGAGAAGAGTTAGTCGTGGAGATAAGAGAGGTGTGTGTTGGTGTAGGAAGGATTTGATTTCGACCAATTTGCTCTCGTGTGCTGTTACGGGTATGAGGGCGGTTGTCACTTCCCAGCTGCCCACACCGTGGAAGGTTGTTTCTAGAGGAACCTGAAAAGGAAGGTATATTAGCGTTGGTCTTAGAGACCTGGGTGCGTGACCGCAGAGTCCAAGGGACAACTGCTTGAGGCCGGTCACGCACGGCCTTTTTGTTAAAGGTTTTTTGAGGATTAGCTCCGCTCTTAAAGGCCCTTAGTGGGCACCCTTACCGCCGGAGATGGAAATCTGTGAGGTGTGACATTTTTAGGGTCGACCTTTTCTAACCCTTCCTTCCTCGTGAGAAGGCAGCATCGCTGCAGATGCTGGTTGTCCGAGAGAAACACCTCACTACTGTCACAACCCTCTGTAGTCAGCAGTACGACTTCGATCTTCAGACCTTGAGCAGCTGATTTTAGTATCATCGTTCTCCAACCGACCTGCTTGGCATGGTAGGACCTGCAGGAACATGTGTTCCAGCCAGTATAGCTCGGCTGGGTCATCACGATAGGGAAGCCCGACCACCACGTCAAGGCAGCAGCTACGGTTGGGGAGTTTTTATTAACAAATTGCATAAATCGCAATATATATCAGTAGATTTTAATCTTTGCTGATTTTAGCTATAGAGAAAAGAATGGAAAAGGAAGTTTTGATTTGATTATCTATGTTGTTCAGTACTGAGACGTTAAAACCATACAACGATATACTCGTTGTATTGACAGTCAAATAAACTGATGCGAATGGATTTGTAAATCCTTCTAATATCAATTTTGCTTGGTTACCTACATATCTACCAGTTAAATTCAACAGCTATATTTAACTGTGAATATTTGAGACGTGATACATCGCAATTAATTATTTGGATTTGTCCAAATACAATGCAGATTAAGAGAGGATAATGTAATCTTTCATTTTCATTTATTCAAAAATATTGATAAAATAAGGCACAAAAATATATATACAACGTATGGTAAAAACTAGGTCATTAAGAGATAGAGAATAAACGGTGATTATAACACAAAATGAGTAGAAATGATTGTGAGTGAAATAATAGTGATAGCAGTGGGAGAAATAGTTCAATTAAGGAGAATATAGTCAGAAAGAATCCTTACAGTTAAAGAAGTCCTTCTCACTTATGTGGAGAAAATAGAAGAAAGTTACAACAGGATCGTCATTGACTTTTATTCTGAGCCATGCCTAGTAACGTCTCAAGCCACTGATTTGCAACATCTTTAAGACCCGAATCTAGGTGTCGCGAGGGAACAACAGGTGCCAGCCCTGTATGGCTTTTTTATACTACGGCACCCTATCACACACTAACCACCTCTCCGCTTTTTCCAACCAGTCCCAGTGTTGGCAAATAATGCACGAGGTGGAATTCTCAGCGATGACATTCGCAGTACATGTCTGAGCCACTGAAGTCAGTTTTTCAATATTATCGTCGCTGTGCCCGAACACAGGTTGCCGAACCTCCACATTACTAACATGGTGTTGGTAATGAACTTCGGCGACAACGGCGACCAGACACAAAAAGCTTTCTAATATCTTCAACTGGGATAGACCAGGTTTCACAAGCATAGAGTAAAAGTGCCCTCACCGAAGCGTTGTACATCTGATCTTTTACAGCCAAACTAACGTGACTAAGGAGCCAAATATGGCCCAGATAGGCATAACCCAACCTGGTTTTCACTATACGTGAACTGATCTCATCACTCACGCAACCACTAGCACTTTCCTAGTTACCCAAATACACGGCTACTTATATCCGCTCACTACCAAGAATGAAGACAGGCTTGGTGTCGTGCTGGTCTTGCAAAAGCACTTGGGACTTGACGGTGATTGCCGACTGATTCAGTGTGGATTGCATTGCTTGGGAATCTTCTCACAACAAAACAGTATCATCCGCATACTCAATATTTAAGTCTTTTCTTCAGGTAACAGATTAACATCACTATTATCTACATCCACCAGAGCTGTTTCCAGAACGTCATCGAAGGCGAAATCGATGAGTGGTGGGATTGGAGCAATTCCTTAGTTGCCTTAACATTTAAGCTAGAGCAAAAGTATTCAGAGAGAACTTTCATTGAATTGTGTTTTGAATCGAACTTAGAACTAAGGACTTATTTGTTTGTGACAACTAAACGCGCTTTCCAATAAATCCTATGAGTGATACATAATACATATTTTCTCAAACTAAAGATGTGTGTTAGAAAGGATCATTTTACTGGATCAATTTACATGGCAATTTCACCGTACGATATTAAAAGAACTCTTTCATTAACATCCAGAAATGATTCTACCGTTGAAAAATTTCTCCCGTAGGTGCTAATAAGTAAACGGATTTACATGAGAGACATTAAAATTCTGAAAAGCGGCAACATATTTTGATTTATTCAGCAGTACACGGTATCTAACTTTTAGAGCTTAAATAATTTCACAGGTAGGAGGATACAGTGCCATCGTTTGGAAATATGAAAACATATTTTTCTCATAGGTACGTGATTACTTACTTAACAAGAAAAACAACTAAGCTTGAAGTCAATACGCTGTGACCGATGTCTGATAGTTCGAAATAGTTCGACGTTCGACCTTGAACAACAATATCCAATATCCTTTTCACGGGCTATTGTAAACCAATTTGATTTCTTCGACCTCGATTCTTGTTCTTTCGGTACGGTTCCAGGTGTTCGGCAATGTCCAATTAATGGAGGTTTAGCCACTCCACGGTCTAATTCTAGTCAGTTGGCAGTTGGTTGTGAATTTGTATGTATTTGAATGAAACGTTTGTTTCAGGGCAGTAGGGTTTCCGGATACTAGCAGCCAACCACAAGTGATTTGTTCTCTTTATTTGGGGATTACATAAGGCGGTGAGATGGTTGTTTCCTACTCAATTTCTACTTTACCTCATGAGATCGCATCTTCTAGTTTTTAATGACATATGTTCAACTACGTTGTATAAAAGTCCTAGTTTACTTTGGCTTTGTCAGATCAGATATTGATAGATAAAGTTCGAAACAAGGGCTTGTAGATAATTTTAATCTCACTGAGGTTACTTAACAAGAATAGAGGATATACATGGTTCAGGGAGTTGTAGTGTGTCGGTCTACTGCGTGTTCTGAAGCTCGGTAATTAACTCGTCCAGACGATCGTCACTAATTAGCGTCTGACGATTTGTAAATCAGAACATGAATTCGTAGTGATGAATACGTTTATTTGAGACACACCACAAAGCGAAGCGGAGAAGCAGTGAATAAAACGAATGAAGCGACTTGAACTGGAGAAGGCTTTGAGCCAATTCTTTGGATTACAATGCGAACGAATGGGCGAAAGAAGCGATGTGGAGAAGGCTAGTAGGCCAGCTCAAAGAAATAGAATGTGACTAAGAATATATAGTCAGACAAAAATAAGACAGACATATGACAAGCGAGATAGGCATGCACAGACATGAATAAAAGCGACAAATGACTGACAAGGTCAAAGGTAAGCGAGACAAGTCATGTGAGTTCATAGGGGTATTAAGAGATTAACATTAAAGCGAGAAGGATGAGTCAGCGCGTAGGCGTAAGCAATGCTCAGTCGTAGAAGCTCGTACATACCACACAATAATAAAATACCAATGGTACATATGGGTTGTTGCTATACCAATAGCTTGGTTACATAAGTTAATCGACAGGCGTAATCAAATTAAATATGAGCTAACTCAAGTTCATGTGAAGGCACTACAGAGTCCTACAGTGCATGTATATTAAACAGAATAGTCTTTCAGTATGAGCCAAATATATTGCATTTAGCTATAACTATGGCTAGGCTAGAATTATGAGTCAATGATGAGACTAGACACGGAATATTAAAACTATAAGGATTCCTAGTTTTTAAATGTTTTATTGTTCTCGTATGGTTTAAGAGAATAAGCTTCATGAATGATTCTACATTCCGTATAAAAGTTTTTCAGTGGTATACTTTTACAAAGAAAACACAAAAGCTGAAATGTAAACATTTATTTTTGCACTTAATTCTGACAATAATTGTTATATTGAGCACCTTTCCTTTATCTGTACAAAAGACTCGCCAAGCGTGTTGTTCCCATTCTCTTCTTCCTACCTAAACGTTAGCCGTTTGTTCGCCCTCTGATCTCGATAATATTTCGATATCACGAGGCTAACATTAAATATACTTCTTCCTCTTAAATAGTCTTTTATCTGATTACTAGAGTAACGGGATTAACATTTGTTGTCCTGCGAAGAAGTTTTATCCTTCGATTTGTATACTGGTGAGCCACAACTTCGAATACGCAGTAAATTCGGTGTCTGGCCAACGAATCCGAAGTATTTCGCGTAGACAACTGTTCATAAATACTCGTATCTACTGGATGATGCCTTTCGTAGTTCTCCAAGTTTCCGCTCCATATAGTAGAACTGTCTTGAAATCTGTAATGAAAATCTTGACTTTAGTGTTGATTGATATTTGTCTGGATTACCAGATTTTTTTAATTGTAGAAATTCAGCCCTTGCTTTGCTGATCCACGCCCTCACATCTGCATCAGATCCACCTTGGTTGTCGATAATGATGCCAAGATATGTAAAGGTGTTAACGTCTTCCAAGGCATCTCCGTCAACAGAGATTTGGTTGGTGCATGTTGTGTTGCATCGGAGAATTTTGCTTTTCCATTTATGTATGTTTGGACCTACTGCTGCCGAGGCTGCTGCTACACTGGTCGTCTTCTCTTGCATTTGTTGTTGAGTGTGCGATAGAAGAGTCAGGTCATCTGCGAAGTCCAGATCGTCTAGCTGCGTCCTAACTGTCCAGTTGATACCGTGCTTCCCTAGAGACGTCGACGTCTTCATAATCCAGTCGATCACCAGGAGAAAGAGAAAGGGTGAGAGTAAGCTACCTTGCCTGACACCGGTCTTCACCTTGAAAGAGTCTGTTAGATGTCCTTCGTGTACGATTTTGCAGTTTAATCCATCATAAGAATTCCGTATGACGTTAACTATCTTCTCAGGCACACCGTAGTGTCGAAGAAGCCTCCACAGTGTTTTCATATCCACGCTATCGAATGCTTTCTCGTAGTCGATGAAGTTGATGTATAGTTGTGAGTTCCATTCAATTGATTGTTCCACAATGATCTGCAGTGTAGCAATTTGGTCAGTACACGATCGATCCTTACGAAATCTGGCCTGTTGATCTCGAAGATGAGCGTCTACGAAGTCCTTCATTCTGTTTAACAATACCCTGTTGAAGACTTTGCCTGGTATTGAAAGAAGAGTGATGCCTCTTGGTCTTTCGGTGTCGAAGTCCTTTATCGATGCCTTTGTAGTTCTCACACTTGCTGAGATCCCGTTTCTTCGATATTTTCATCATGTATCCTTATTTCTAGTCTGATTATACTTGTTCTACATACCAAATACTGATGCAGAAAATGTGGAGTATATTCGCAAGTGCTTCCAAGTCTGCTTTCATTGCCTCTGCTGGGATGATGTCTGCTTCTGGAAATATTGTGCCGCGGATGACTAGTTTGTTAAAGGCACATAGGTTCGCAAATCCCTCGCTATTTTCGCTCCTTTCTCCCAGTCCATGTTGTCCTATGATGTCTTCATATCCAGTGTTGTCCATGCCAAACTTGGCATTTAGGTCTCCCATTAGAATCGTCAAGTCATTTGATGAGCATTTGTCGACGATTGACTGCGGCCTCCCGTAGAATTTATCTTTAACGTCGTTTATTGTAATGCCCTCTTTCTGTGTTTTGAGGGATGCTTTGATGGTCCTGGGCCCATGAGATTCCCATCCTGTTAGTGCCTTTTGTGCTTGTTCGGACAGCATCAGTGCAAGTCTTTGTGTGTGTGAGGCATTTTCTTTTTCATGGCCGGAGTATAACAGCAGCTCTCCTGGAGCTAGTCACAGTTGTCCAATATGTGTCCAATGTGCTTCTCTGATTCCAAGTACCACTAGGTTGTACGTTTTTATTTCTGTACCAACTGCAAAGACTCTACCGCTCTCCTCGATTGTACTAATATTCCAGGTCCCTAAATAATTGGTTGCTGTGGTTGTGAGAAGGGTCATCGGCCTCGTGACTTGCGAATAATTTCATCTTTCATCATGAGACTTGATAACTCTTGTGAAAGAAGACCTAACTCCCAGGACGGAGTTAAAATGGTTTGAATTGTTTTCTGGCTAGCGTTTTTTAGTGAGTTAGTTTTCTGTGGGATTAGGTTGAAAACCTCATTCCCAACCCTCCTACTTTGTCAGGGTTTGGGACCAGCAGTGGCCCCAGAGGGTCTTCAGATGTATTTGACAATCTACGTAGAAATTAGATGAGCATTCGTTTGCATGACTTTGGAGATGGAATTTTTCACAATGAGGAATGTATCGCTGTGTCAGATATGTTGGTACTGGATCACATATTAGCATCGCGTTGGGCGCACCTGACTTGTCAATCGGATTCTAATAAAAATTGATAAATAGCACTCAGTTATCCTTAAAATTCTTTTTGAGGCGGTCTCTGCACATTGTATCGAAATATAGCTCTCTCGGTAGAAACATCATTATTTTGCATTGTGCTGTCAGACACCTTCAAATCCTTTTAGTAGGTCAAGAATTCACCCTGGAAATTTTCCAATAACTCGTCTTCATATAAGTATTCACCTCGAGAGTACTGAGAACTGTAGTATGTCTCTCATTTTAATTCATGTATGCATCCTACATCTGCTGAAGATAGTGTAGTTGCAGACACTTAACTTTACCAGCTTACTTGAACAGTCTCCAAGTAATCTACATTCTACAAACGTTACAGTTCGACCAAAGTGAAGCATATGCCAAGTATATCACAGTACCCTCAACACTGGAACATCATATAAAATCAAAGAATTTCGTCTAGCGTTCCTGATCGGTAGTGTTTTGGCAGCTATGGTGATGCCATTTTACTTCTTAACGCTCACCCAATTCTCCTTGCTCTTAACAGATAGTAGGATTTTTATAATAACCAGTGGCGTCTTAGGTGTATTGGATCGGGTTGCGGCTCCCATCGTCGCCTGTTTGATCGATCCTTCGTTGGGCGAATTACATATACTAGTAAGCACCGATCAGTTTATTTTTGCTTTGTTGTTTGGCTTATTGGTTCTACACTGTGGACCAATCTCAGAACTACTTATGTAGGTGAATGGGTGTGAACTGAAAGTAATCCCTGGGTATATCAGTATCACAGCGACAGCGAACTCACCCACTGCAGATGTTGCATTCAAATACAGAGCCACTGGTTTTAACAAACTACGAGCAAGCGATATTACCATCGTGTTTTGTCATTTCTAAATAGTAGTATGCATCTCCGATATATGTTTAATGCGCTAGTTTAATACCGGTCACTTTTGAAGCATTTAGAGATGCAATGTTAAAAAATTAACAGCAAATGTTATAGTGAGATGAAACTATCATTCCTGAAATTAACAAGGTAAATTCCGATAGATCCAGAAATCGGAAAGAAGACAATAACTGAATGAAGAGGTGTACTGGTTCGTGGCCTCGTGTTATCGAAAAAATATCAAGACCGGAATAAATAAGCAGCTAACAACTGCCGAGGAAAAACGCGGAATGGGAATTACACACTTGAAATCCGAGTTATAGTCTTTAGTACAGTTAAACAAAAGGAGTACAATAGAATAATTATTGTTGGAATCAAGTACAATAATATGTTTCCCTTTCAGCACTTGTGTTCTCCTCGTCAAAGTATACCACTACGATGTAAATTAATGAGCGACAGGTCTCTTCATCTAGTATTAAATCACCGATGAGATTCTTATGGGTCCGTTTATAAATACTAACGTACGTTTTGAACAGATCTATGTATTTAAGGTCAATTAATTACAATAATTACTTTTCACAATTTACATCTTGCATCACATTAAAGTTTGAAATTAGACTGTCGGATAAAGACTTATGCAGCAATGTATGTAAGGAGTTTGTAAATAGATTCTAAAAATGATTTGTTATCAGAATGAACACCAAATATAGCAGAATATTAATTCATTTTATTCCATTCTTTAGCACTAGTTGCTATGGTCGGTAATTTTTTTCACCATATCATACCAAAACAAGCGAATCCAAACATACAGAGGCAAATGATTTTAAGATGATTCTACAAGCTTATCCTGGTCTAGAACGAGAATGGTACACTTACATCAGTGCTCATGGATATTAATGAATTGTATGTGTTTTTTGACTCAAACTTCGTGAGGAGCAGAATTAAATCTACCGCAATGATATTATGACTGCTATGTTTAAAGACAAGAATCTCCTAAATTATCCTATTGACTAATGTGTATCTACGATAGCTGACTCTGACCTTAATCACCGTTTAATTTTTATTGTCACATGCTCAAAACGGGGGTTAAAGTGTGTCGATCGGTCCCAATATATCCCTCCCCCCACTAAGTTACGCATATAATTATAACTAAGATAAAAAGTGGCGATTAGGTGTAGTTGAAAGGAAACCATGGGATTATTTTTCGACCTACTTGACACTAGTCAGTTAGTCACCTGTTTCACTGACTACATTGGTAGATAGAATTGGTAGATAGAATTCGACCAGTACCTGATACATAACATTTGTCACCATCTAGTGGTCGATCGAAAGTAAATGCATCTTGGTCCTACAGGAGGTTAGTTACGGCTCGCACAGCATAATGTAACATCTGTGACTGTAAAGCTGGGTAATATGAGGTCGAATCTTCCAGGAATCATAAGTTCCCATAAAACTACAGGTGTATCTTGCTAACGAGTTCTAAATAGTACGAAACCTAGGTTCAAAGTTTCCTATTGACTACCTTCAATCATCACCTTAAATCATATTCGTCTTAGTTCAGTTGATCCCAACTTAATTTAAATAAAATACACTTTGAAGAAACATCTGAAAAACGACTTGTATTTTACTGATTTAGCCATACTGACAACAAATGAATGGAAAATATAAATCAAAAAAGGGAAAGTAATTATCATGGGAAATAATATAGTGAACATGTAAGTACAAGTTTCGCATCATTCATCACAATAATAATCGTTGAAGTATTAATAATGTACGTACAGTGACTTGCATTAATAGTTAAGGATGATGGTGTTTAAAACAGTCACAAATTTTTAGGTTTATTAGTATGTTGCACACTACTTATAAGTGATATTAACCAAGCCGATAAATATTGATTTCATACACCTTACGCATATTTCAACCAAAAATAACTAGAGAATGAAGTGTACTTGTTACGTTCGAGAAGTTTTAAATATGTTTGACAGAGATTGTTGAATAGAATGTAAGAAACGGGAATAGTTTCCAAGTACAAATCAAATAACTGATAGGAAAATATTAGAAATTTCATTAGTTAAATTATGAAACTGAAAAACTTTAGCTTAACTTATCTGACAAGAAACTAAAATGTGCACATTTTATTTCATCTGCGATGCTCATTCAAGACGTATGGCTTTAAATGGTTATCTGGAATAAGAACGGATTGTAATGGATCAGTTAACCTTGAAATCAAACTATATGTCTTGGTGGAATTCGATGACGGTGTTTCATATATGTAAGATGGAAAGTTGTTTAATGAACTATTGGTTTCACGACAAAAAGACTCAACTTTGGCGATTTTCGGTGAATATTGCCCCTCGTTTATGCTTGATAACCTCATTTCTGAATTAAGTGGAACTGTTTCGGTAGACATATTATTCTGTTTTTTTAGATATGGTAAGGCTTCTTCAAGATTTTTCGTATGAATAATAGCTTCTTGTTTTTCCTGACGTCTCCATTTAGCCCGCCTATTTTGAAACCAAACCTGAATCAGATAAAAGTAAGCTAATACGAATCAATTTATCATTGACAAGCGATCGCATAAGATATATATTTCACAGTGTCGCCAAAACCATCAAAATATTATTGTTCGAATTATCTTCATTTGCTCGCCTTTTACCCCAAAGCAGTTTTGCTGTGCTAAAATCGAAGGTTCGCCATTGTCGTATAAGCTATAGGAACAATTAACTATCAAACACAATAATTATGTCTAAGAATTTTCCAGCTAATGTTCAGACACGTAATCGAAAATAACTAAGAAATAACTAAAGTGTAGTTAACCATTTAAAAGTTGAACGATTCTATTTGATAGATACTAATTTACCAATAACTGTATCATGTAAACAACAAAAATACTACTTTCAGAAATAGTTTAAGATGAGTGTGATAATTATTCACTCATATATAAAACCCACTTTACTTGCAAGTCCCCTCATTTTTATTTCATCTCAACTTATTTGCAAAATAAACACTAAGAAATCAACATTGACTGATCAAAAACCAACACGGACGCTGTTAAACAACGAACCATAATTAATTACGAATAAACAATCGAAAATAACCAGTATGAAGAGGTTAAGGCTTTCTGAGTTTAGTTACTGCTCGTAACAAATGTCAGTTGGTGATGCAAAACTGCATAATAAAAAGTATCTTTTCATAACACGATTATGAACGACTGTACATTCTTTATAAGAATATTAACATGTCCAAGTTTGATTTCATTATTGGGAACCACAGGTTGGCTGGTAAGGATATTATTAATAACCGTAATAATAATAATAATGATAATAATAAAAGTGGCTTTATCCAACATTATATGTTTACTACTATAAGGAATTCTTAGCACGGAATATTTGAACAAGTTTCTTTTACAAAACAATCAGTGATTGGCAGTTGGAAGTTGGCGGTTGTGAAATCCACATCATATTGTCGTTCATTCATTTGTCAGAAGATTGCCAACCACTGAAATGTCTCCAGTTTCCATTCTTGGTATCTTGTGAAGTAATAGGTCGTAAACTTTTTGTACAAGAGCCTGAACAGAGTATTCAATTAACCGGCATAACTCAAGTGTTAATTAAGAAAAAGTTGTTGAAATATTTTAGTGTTAAGAAACAGGTAGCCCAAATATTGGAGCAGGCTGCCCAGATATACTCGTAACCAATCGCTGGAAACAAAAGATTAGATTAAGTGATAGAATTTCAATACATCGGCAATGATAGTTAAAATTACCTGAACTCGAACTTCTGGTAGTCTAATTTTCGCAGCTAATTCTTCACGGTTCAATACATCTGGATAATGACTGTTTTCGAAAGCACATTCTAATTCATGTAGTTGATATGTTGTAAATGTAGTCCGATTGCGCCTGTGTTTACGATCACGTGAGTGTTGTTGAATATGATGATTATGATGATAACTGACATGGTTATAATCTTTAGTTCTACATTTACCAGTGATGTCATTTGTTCTGACCGTAGACGCTTCAATATCTCTATCAGACACTGATAATTTTTTCATCATTTTCGACTTAAGTGATTTAATTTTGGCATCAACTTGATTTGACTCGATATCTCTACTTGTATTCATGATGTTGGCAACTTGATATGCTGAAAATTCTGTATTAGAGTGACTACCTTCATTGAACATTGATTGGTACGGAAATTTATTTTTTACTTGTAAATTAAACCAGTCAGATGTTGAATCTAACTGGATGAAATCCATTACATTTGAATCTTCTGAAGAAGAAACACCTTAATAAAATGAAAAAAAGTGCTGATTGGACTAAGTGAGGTTGCAAATGTAATGCGATAAATAACCATCTTCAGATACGTGTCAACGGACCTGAGGTTTGAAAAAAAGGAGTTACCATATGGTGTAGGTATTCTCACATGATGAATCGATAAGCTTCGTGAAAGAAAAAACAGTTTACATTTGCACTGCCAGTAGATGTAAAAAAATGCCAATGAATATTTTCCATGTTCTACGTCACCAATTATCTTTATATTGCTTGATAACTTATATGGCTGTTATAAGCAGAACAAATTTCATTGAATTTCCAATGTGTTCTACACACAACATCGAATAGAACTACTGAACGGTGTTTATTGGTAACTGGTGTTATACACCTTGAGACTACTCGAGCAGGTGAGCTATGGATGAAGATGCGATTCTAAAACTGTATACATCTAGTAAAGTTTCTTCCCTCTTCATTTGGTTGTAAGTGAAAATGAAGAGACAAAGTATGATTATCACAAAGCCTACTACAGTTAATTAAATATATTTTATAAAATAAGTCTATATTCTTTGTATACTTCCAGTTAAAATTTATTGTACAAGTAAACCAAATATCATTAAATATCTGGTGCTAACAACATTTAATGTATAAAATCCAAGTGAAACAACTTACGTATATATATATATGATTTACGAACCAACTGTTTCATTTTGGAAAAATTACTGTGTTTTGAAGTTTCTAGTAAACTACATTCTTAAGTTAGAATTTTATCAAAATTATTCCAATAAAGTTGAAATAATAAATAAATAGTAATTTATTTGAACAAATGACTAGTAATTCAATCTTTCGTTCTGAAAAGCTTCAAGAATATACGATTGTGATGCTTTTTCTGATGACCTCTGATAAATTCAACCCCACAATGAACACTTTCATCATGACTTCAGTGATCAGTTTAGATCGCTGATATAATAAACAACCAACCATCAAAAGTCAATTGATTCTTCTAATACACATCGATCATTCATTTGTGTTAATTGTGTTAATTTTAGGATTTATGAATCTGAGTTCTCTTTCATCAACTTCATAAGCGATAGAAACAGAATCTTCCCAGCATCCATATATATCAACAGAAACTAATGTTTATCAGTTTTCAATGTTAAAAACACACAAAAAGTACAAACGCTTACAAATATAGAAAGAAAGTGGAACAAAGGAGAAGGCCATTTAACACAACACAGTTAGTTAAAAAAGAAAAGTTAATTTAGGCCATATTATTTGTTAACTTTGTGCAATCGTATTTATGGTTATGTTATGTATAGAAGTCAATAAATAAAAGTTTACTGATGCTAAGAATTAAAGACAACCATAGAAAAACTTGAGACAAATGGATTTTCTTTCAGGTTCTTTAACCGTAGCCTGAATTTGAAACTTAGAAACGTGATTATCCTTAAGAATGTGTAACTTTGTTAAATGACATAAGTGAAGTGAAGTTTTTCTTCACTCAAGATGTCTTTGCCTAACAGATGACCCCGTAACTGTTAAGCAAGTTACTGCTTGTTTGAACTCAGTAGCCTAGTGGGTAAGACTCTAGGTTTGTGTCCTAATATTATTATGAACACTGAGATTTAGGTGAATCCAGTTCAAAGACTTGAATTAGTTTTTACTAGGAACGAGACAAATATACTGATGTATTGATAAAACCATCAATGAGAATTCATAAACAAAAGACAGTTTCTAAATTTCAGCAAAGCCTTATTCTGTAGTTAAAGGGGATAACTAGAACGGTCACAATTTTCGGAAGATTGGCCTAAAAAAAACAAAGCCATTTTTGAAATTGTTGGAAAGTAAAAGAATACAGAGCTATCAACCTTCTATGACCTTACCTTAATCAATGATCTTTCAAAAAAGCTAAATCAACTTTAATACACTGATAAAAAATACATATAAAAACGTTAAATCTGTAGTCCATAAAACAGTAGGGCTACTCCAGTCATTTTTCATTGTGGTAAGAAACATTTGCAGCATATTTTACACAAATATAATTCTTAGCTGTAGGTACGTCTAACGCTGAGAGAATTTTCTAATAGATTTAAGAATTTAAGTTAGATCTTTGGTTATGTTGCTGTGATTGGATAAATTGTGATTAATGCAGATAAACATTTTATGATAATCATATCTTATGTGACCACTATAATTTAAGTATATGACTGTAGCAGTATTACTAGTGGTACTATCAATAGTAAGTATATTAGTCAATATCAAACAACACCTTACATTTTAACAAATACGAAAGCCGATTTATTTCAAAAATTTTCAAAACAATCAAGAAAATCAACCGGTGAACTAGTGCAAAAGTTAGTTTATTTCTAGAGTGCAAACATGTAAAAAAATCTAACTGTTAACGTTCAGATTTTATGAAGTGCATAGATTCATTCAGTTGTTAGCCAACAAAACCTAAGAATAAGAGCTATTTATTTCAAAACCACGGTTTATAAAAAGACCGGTGGTTTTTCCAGATGAAAATTTGATACTTCTAACTTCAAAGTCTGATAATCTATGGATTTTAAATCAATTTTAATTTCTTTTGAAATAATCAACATCCTCTGTTTCTCATAGAAACACAATGTCAACTAAAGACGTTGGTTCAATTCAGATCATTCATTTTGGAGAAACAATGTTTCATAGGATGAAAGTAGGTGTTATACATGTGGGATTTTTCGCTGGTAACAGCAGACCATTTAACAAAATCTTACTTTCTCAAATGAGATGACATTTTTTGACATCTAAATACTTGAAAAATGTTTAAATCTTTCTGACGTTTTCAAAAATATTAAAACAAGAGTTTTGAAGGTTTACCTTAAAAGTTATACTTTAGCAATGTACTTGTTATGAAATCAATGTCACTAAGTAGATCCAAGATGATTAAAAGATTTGCCTATAGTCATAGTGAACTAACAGAATCAGTGATACCGATTCAGTACTACAGAATTAACCTTCTTTAAAGATAACACCAGCGGAATGGTGTCCTTGTTGACTTGATCGAATTCTAGGGATATGTCAATACACAGCTATGGATAATCGAAATTCGCATCATGTGATACATGAAATAATTCATCGTAATGAGGTATCTATTCTGAATGTGACTAACAAAACTACAACTATTTTAACAGAAATCAGGGAACTCAATATAGTGTGCTGTGATTTAAAATGACCACTTACAGAAATAACTAGTGCATAGTAATGTCCACATATATTGATCGGAAATTGAATTTATATTTTATAAACCTTATGTAAGGAATGGCATAATAACGTGTTATAAATTATCAAACATTTTATGAATAGAAACGATTGACTAGGTGAAAATCTCTATCCAAGTCATTCCATATTTATGGGCTCTAACATACTTTCATTTATTACCAGAATTTTGGATAAAGCTCGTATCGAATACCAGTAAAAATATAAACATTGTTACAATGTATTTGTGTACTAGTCTGGGAAATTCGACCTACATTACTGAGTTAACTTATACAGTTTATTACACTCTTCAATTCCTAGTTGAGGGTGGCATTTGGAACGTCCTGCCTACAACAAGATCAGATCCACGTGACACAACATCTTGATGTTTTAACTACACCAAACGCTAATTTAATTTTCAAAATATACTTGTAACAAAAAAACAACAGTTAAAAAGACCACTTACATAAGTTTTCTGAACTGTTAGATACTTTGGACAAATCAATATCATTTGCATCTTTTCGTTCATCAAATCCTAGTAAAGATGCAATTCCGAAAAACGAATTCTGAGCACAAACTGTGGAGATATTTTTTAAATTAACATTTTGAAAGTTGGAATAATAATCAGATGATAAGGATGGATTGAAATTATTTGACTGCATCATTGTCGAAATAGATAATTACTTTATCACAACAAAATTGAGAATATATAACTAATGAAGCCAAGTTTATTAACGTCAATGTAAGGGATCAACTCTCTTTTCATGAAAAATGATTGGTTAATAAGTCAGATGCTCCGAATTTAAGCGTTAATACTTATTGGTTAAATCAGTATTCATTAAAAATTCCTTATCCTTCCCACTCATAATTTGAGTACAAAATTTTTTTCCGCATTTTTATTGGTCAATCATTTGTACAAAGACCGTCAGTCCAAAAAACTTAACTGGTAAATGTTAAGCATTAACAAACCATATTCATAAATATTTTAATTGCCATTAATTTGAAAATACTGTTCCCCATATTTTTAATAAAAGTAATCATAAACTTTTCCCACTACAGACAATCAAGAAACAATTTTAAATATTAGTCTTTATAATTAAAGTTTTGCTCATGACTATGTCTAGTTTTGTATCATTATTCAGCCTCGTTTTATTGCCCAGACAGCCGAAACGTCTATAATTTAGCATAATACTGAATTTACTAAGACTGCAATTCAAAGAAATTACAGTTCAGTATGTTCTTGACCAATTCTAAAATGAATTGTAACAAACAATGTCTCTTAATTTTAGGAACATGGTTATTTATTAAGACAGTGTGTTCCATATACACAACTTCATTAGAACTGCTTGTTCAATGCGAAATGATTGATTTTATATCATTTCTAAGTTAAACTAACGTTTTATGTTTGTCAAATACTCTACATGAAACGAAAGTGCATTGATTCAGTATCCCATCTCAATTTGAGGAATGTCAGAGCCATTTTCACTTCTCTCCACATCATGTCTATAATCAAGAAAGTATCAACAATCATTATGATCGTAGCGTTACTGAGCACCATTCGCAAATTTTTATCAGTCGAAAGGAAAGTGAAATGTGAACAAAACAGCTAATCCGGTTAATAGAGGAATAAATTCTGAAAGAAATTTAAACCACCATAGGTTTCATGGAAATGTTCAAAATTAACACATTTCC